CTTCAGATGCTTCATGTGGCAGTAGAAGTGGGACAGGTGCATATAATCGGAGTGCTTCATTGATTACATTTGATAGGTAATTCAACTTGGGCAAGTCTTGTTCGTTTATGATGCGGTCTTGTTCAACATGAGCATCTATCTCTGCTCGAACTTTTTTCATTACATCTGGATGGTTAAGTAGTAGTGACATCGCCCATTCCATGGTTGTTGATGAAGTCTCAGTTCCAGCAAGTAACAATATCTGTCCACACCAGGCAAGCAAGCACATAAAATACCCAAAAAGGATGCAACATTAAGGGGCGGCCCAACACTCTCACCACTACAAAAATAGTTAAAGATCACACTTTGACCAAAAAAAATATCTCAATTTGTAGAAATTTCAAAGTGAAGCCTTTTGATAATTAATGTTAATTATTAATTATTAATATTTTATTTTTGTCTAAAGTTATTTTTTCATCCTTTTGGTATCAAAAAATTACTAAAATTAAAAGTAAGAAGTTATATCTTATGTTCCCAAGCACGTAGATTGAGACTATCTAAAATTCCGTATCAACTCTTTGCAATGACTTCAAAGAGTCAATACAGAATTTGGATGATAAGTCATGGTATAAATATTCCTCAACTTCGATGGCTAGTTATGTGAAATCAACTACTACTAACTTCAAACTCTCTACTGTGAATTCTACTTTGAATTCTCTCTCTAGGATTTTGTTGTCATCTTAGGCATTTTTGGGTAGCTTACTCATGAAACAAATAATTTTTTCTTTCACTACGGATCCCATACTACCCCCCATAAACTGAAAATCCATAACCCCAATTGCTACGGGAATACCATTTAGTTGGCCTATGCTTGTTTGAACAGCCTCAGTTAATCCTGTTTTCCTTTGATAAAATCGATAAGATAATTTTGAATTTTTGCATAATTCAAGTTCATACACATAGAGTAGATTTTTACCCTCTACATATAATATTCCAAACAACATCTACATAATAATGATAATCTTACCATTATAATCCCATTTATAATATTGTTGGTGTAGAACTCTGGTTCTGTTTCTTGCCAAGACAACAAATTGTCGATTAGTGTCCTCGTTTGTTTTGATGCACTGATTCTCCGTCGTTCATCAACTAGATGCTGCAAAAACTTGTCCATCTTCTCTGCACTGGCTACTAATTTCTTCTCAATCCCAAAAAAATCCACCCACAGCAAGATCGGGAAAATGTCTGATGGATGTGATATTTGAGCAAGTTCAAAGTGCTCCCTCATCAAATTCTGAAAGAGCTTGGCCTCCTCAACATCCGACACATCCTCTCCATAGAACCTCTTCCCCATGATCATCATTGTTGTAACATTAAAAGAGAGCCCAAAAAACTTGTTTTTCAAGTCCACCTTACTATACCCACCATCACCACAATTTTTCGTGAGTTGATTCAACCAAAACTTCACTTCCTCTCCTCGTATACCAGATGTCCTCTCCAGTCGAGCATTCGAGAAAATCTCTAAGGTTGTAATACGCCTGAGATTAGGCTGTAGCAAATTAGTCTTTAACATTGTAACAGAACATGAACAAAAACAAAAGCATTATTTTAAATTTTCAAAAAATAAAAAAAAATAAAATGCATAACATAGACTGCGGACAATTAGACTTGGATATGAATAAATATTTTTCCAAAACAAATCAAGAATTTATCATACTTTCTTATTTTTTTCTTTAATTTTTTCAGCAAAAGTCATACTTTAGGTGTAAAACGTTTCAGTAGGACTTTATTACCTATTTTCTACCAATTATACTAAGACATCCCAACATAAATAAAATTGTTTGTATATACGCAGGTTTGGTTGTCGGGTTGGCTCAGATCAGGTTAAGCTTAATCCCAAGAACCAAACCAATCTAATCTAATCTTGTTTACTATTTTTATATCCAGAATGGAATCAATGTATTGATAAAATTAATCAAACCAACTCCATCCCTGGAGGTCGAATTGATTCAGTTCTCGAGTTTTCTAACTCTCTTCTGCACCCCTACCTCAGATTGCGCCAAAGGTCACCATATGAGGCTGCAGTTATTGTGGTGTAGTCGTAGGTGAGGTGTTTTCCGATGGGACTACGTGGCCGGTTGGCAAAGATAATATCGTTTTTTGTGAAACATTCTTCGACGGCCAAAGGAGAGTTGACAATGATGACCTTTCTGGGTCCGAACCGAAGGAAGATGATTGGGCCATACTTATCTGAAAAGCCTTGCAGAGTTTGGTACAGTGGCTCTTTTAGTAGATGGAGATGGCCTAGGATGGGAAGCCCAGGAGGACTTGGGGGGAGATTCTTGTATGTTTCTTGTTTCGATGTGAAGAGCTTGAAGAAGAGTAGGAGGAGAGGGAAAATGATGAGAGCTATGGTGTACCAGTTAGCTTCACCCATTCTTTGTTTCCAAAACTCAAGTCTTAGGTATCAAGTTGAGGTGAGAAAAATTGTGACCGTCTAATATATATATACATATAATTGGTAATTTGTTTTGCAGTTTTTTATTGATCAGTAACACAATGTAAGCAATACTTCATAGTTCTATTCAAACTACCTAACAATTTTGCGAAGTAAACTATCAACTTGTCCAAGGTGTCCAAAGACGTGCAACCAAAAGAGAGAAAAACAATTACTCCTTTGCTTGAGTATGACGTTTTTTTTTTTTTTTTTTGGTTGTAGTTTCATGAGTGTCATTTATCGTCCAATACGATCTCATTATTATAGATGAAAATAATGACAAAAACATGGAAGTTTTGACATTGTTATAGCAGTCATATTCAAGAGGAAGGAGCCAAACTGAACAAGATGCAATTTTACGTTGCCGGCAATGACGGTGTTGGTGAACACTACAAGAAATCAGCAAAACAAAAAATAAAATTATATTTAGAATTTATGAAACAAACAAATCGAACCCGGCTTTAAGGAGATTTATACTGTTTGCGATTCACAAAGTCTAAAGATTTGTCAGCATAGTGTGTATCATGAAAAATACATATCACTGACCACTCGAGACATCCGGATTTTGGAAAAGACATATTTTGATATTTCAAAAAAAAAAAAAAATAATTGTCGTTTTCTGGTGCTCTAATTTCTATGTATTTATAATTGACAGGAGGAGGACTATCTTTATAGTTTGTAATACTCTGATCACAGTAAAACATTATAACAAATTAAGGTTTTAGAGAAAAATTTGAGGACAAAATAATTTTTTAAGAACAAAATATTTTTCTTACTAAAATCATTTACCATATTTTTAAGGGCCACGCACCAATAAATCCCAAATCTTTATCTTATGTTCCATTTAGTCCTACCTTTTATCTTATGATCCAATTAGTCCTAACATAATGTTATTGACAACTAAACCCGTGTTACACTAATTTTTAGGCGTTCTAGTAAGGGTAATGAAGTAAACCACCAACGGCGTAATGACTATAATGCCCCAAACCTGTCCTCTGTAGAAATTTGTTTCCCTCCAAACAAACCCGTAATCGAAGAGTCGTGTGTGGAAGCTTGAACAGTTCTCCGATGTTAATGGCGCGATGTTAGGCGTGGGAGTTTGAGATTGTTGCTTGACGATGTGAAATTCCTGTCAATAGAATAGCATTTTTTGATTTACCGCAATCCCTAGCAAATACGGAAGCCCCTACGCTGTTGATACATCAACTCCGGCGGTGTAGGTGCATGTGACGGTGTTGTGCTTCGAAGTAGCGAGCGGAAAGTCTTCGTAGGCCTCCGACAATGGTTCCAGGTACGGTAATCGTCTCTGTACATAAACCCTTGCTTTCATTTACATTACGAGGTTGTGGAGTTATGGGTGATATACTAAGGGAACTGGTTAATGTTGTGGGATTTGTAAAATACATGAAATTGTGAAATATGTACACTGATGTAGTGTTGTTTTTTGGGTGCGATTTTGAGTAATGCATGCGTCTGCTCGGAAAGTAGGTTGTCAATGTTGTTGGCCTGTTAACTGGTGTGTTTTTTTGCCATTTTGTCGTAATGTTACTGCGGTGAATGTGAATGAGATGGTAATGCAATTTTATTATCAAGTGCGTACTGGGTTTCCCTGAATTTTTTTTTGGGGGGGGGGGAAGGGGGGGTTGAGGGGAAGATGGCTTTACCTGTTCATGTACTGAGGGGGATTGAGGGGAAGATGGTTTGGTGGTGTATACAATCATGTACCTGTGGGGGTGTGCATACTGTGTTTTGGTCATTTTACATTTGAAGAAAATGTAATGTTGTGCAAGATTCATGTCATGCTGTATTTGCAAATTTCAGTTTGGCCCAATTTTTTTTTTTTTTTTTACGGTGTTGGTGTCCAATGCTTAGTCTTAATCATGTTATGTAGCGTGTTTGACAATGTGAAAGTCATACTGAAGTGGTGACACATTTGTATTGTTGTTTGATGCGTTGACGTAATCTATGTAGCGTCAACTTTAATGGGTTGGATGTTATTGTTGAAATTCGTAATTACAGTTCGTTGGATTTGTAAAAATGTAGTCCAAACAATAAAAATTAGTTAGTTTGGGAAGTGATTAGTGGTTAGTATTCATAGTGATGCATGCAATACGAACTCCGTTGCCTAGTGCGTGATGGATAAAACACAGAGTTTGGCTGTCTGATGTTAATGTTTGTGTTCCATTTTACATTGATGGCATGACATGGGCATAAAAGTCTGTGTTTCTTCTGGTATTAACTGTGAGATAGGAAATGTGGCGGTTTAATGATTCATTTTTGCATGGTTATTGGTAGTTTAATTTGTTTCTGCTGCTTGCATGATAAAAATGTTCAGTAGCAGTATGGCAGCAGGACTGGTAAACGGAAACTTGGGTTAAGCACCACAAACATCGACAAGGCAGCCAGTAAAGACAAGCGAAGCTCCCATTCAAGAAACAAAAAGGGCCGGGTGATCCTGTTCGGAGAGGTTATGTTGATCCGTCGAAATTATATGTACCGTCAAACATATCCGGGCTGAATTAGCACAGTTCTGGAACTGGAATTACGTGATGGCCACATCAGACAGTTGCAGAGAACGCCATTCTGGCTAATGATTGATGCTATTCGGGCTAACGACTTGGATCCTAAAATGTTCAAAAAATGTGATGCGACAGTATGTCGGGTAATACAAACTTACAACCCTGAAGATGAGAAATTCCACATCGGTGGAGCTAAGTTACCATTGCGCAACAACGACATCAGGTTGATCTTCGGCGTACAATGTGGGAGGGAGAAATTGGATATGACACATGGTGGGAAAGGGCCGTCTGATTTCATCCAAAGACGTTGCGCAAAAGTTAGCCGAATTTCTTCAAAGTTAATAAAGGACTTGCTGGGAGAAGCAATATGTGGTCGTACAGAGCGTGACGAAGAAGATGTGGCGAAATTGCTGTGTCTTTATGTGTGCGCCAAGTTATTTTTCGCAACGACCGGCGAGCATATAGGTTGGGCATTTGTCCGTGTCATCGACAAACTGGACACATTGCAACAGTATGACTGGAGTGCAACAATAAGGAACACATTGATTGGGTCACTGAATGAGATGCACAATAAGCCGGAGAAGGTCACTGGTTGTGTAGTAGCATTGCTGGTACGTATGTTTGTTGGTTGTTTGGTGGTTCAAATTCAGCTTTACAACATATGATACATTTCAGTGTTTATGTAATAGATGTTTCATGGTGTAATTTCAGTTTCTTATTTGTGAGCATTCCAACATCATCGCTCCGGAACGGCCTGACGTGACACCACGATTTTGTCGATGGAACATTGCATCCGCTGTGGGTAAACTAAGAGCAATAAATTTGTCGTCAGAAGGTTGCTTTGAGGTATGGAATTAGAACCCTTTTAATTGTTTTTAAAAATTTTCCAACACCAAACTTTGAAATTGTGCTACGTTTTGATGGTAATTTTGCTTAGGTCCACCGTGCCAAACTTGTTGGGACGATTAATGAATGTCATATTCTGAAGGTGCCTGCTGCTGCTATTGAAACAAAAGAATGTGGTAGGATTAGGATGGATGTGGAACCACCTGGAGTGTGCGATGAACGCAGGGCTGTGATTGAGACAGATGATGTTGGCAGCATGGAGCCAAGCTTCAATTGTTGGCAGCTGGCCAAAAAAACCAAGGGTGACATGCAAATTGAGGGGGGCAATGACTATGATAATAAAAATACTGGAACACCAACCAGCAAGGAAAAAGTAGCTGGGAAGCTGGTGTCACGTGGAGATGTTTTGCCGGTATTGTTCCCAGATCTTCTGGAACTGGCCAGCACTCCAGATGGTGAAGACGTGGGTGAGGAACAAAGAGGGGTGCACAATGAGCTGATAACTTGTAAAGTCAGAATTACTGAATTAGAGAGCCAGATCAATATGAAAGACGTACAGATATGTGAACTGGAACAGCGTGTGGAAACACTGGAAAAACTGCTCGGGCGGCATGCTGGTAATTTGTTTGCAAACTTAAATACTGTGATTGTGGATAAGGAATCTGAAATTGCCCGGCTCAAAAAGCAGGTTGATCGATTGGAGAAAAAAATAAGCAATTTGGAAGATAGTCTTGATGACCTCGAGGTGCACGAGGTGACACAATTTGCTGTGAATGATGGATCCAATCAGCGAACACCAAGTAATAGTGTGTCAGGGAAAGTGAGTGGGTCTGCCAATGTGACGAGTTGCGAAAGTGCGCAGCAATTTGCATGTCCTACAGGGCAACCCGAAGACGTGCGGATCAACGAATTACAACTTGTTCACAATGACCCTGGGATTGAAGATTTGACCGATGACTTTGCAGATGGGATTTTGCATACAACTGTAGCAATGGGTGAGGGTAGCTGCAGCCCCATAAATGCACAGACAGTAGCTGCTGGCAATGTAAAAGATGGTGCAGCTGTCGTTGTTGTAGAAGGTCATTGCGAACACACAGCAGGTGCAACAAGTTCTGGGCCGAAAATTACGTCACTTGTGAAAAGGGTGAAGAACAAGGCAAGACGGGAATTTAGGTTATCAGACTACGAATATCCCGGCATATTCGGGCGTACACAGGTAAACACCAATGTCAGACTTGAAAATCAGTTGAACCAGGGGTGATTTACAGTGTTGAGGACGTCGAGGTGGAGCGTAAAACCTGGAATGGCTTCGGTCTGAATAGGCGGCACACTGTGTGGAACATGCTGAAGGATGAAGACCGGGAACTACTACAAAGAATGTACACTTTAGAGGGGGACAGGTAGGTTGTTCGGATGGACTGTTGTATGGTTTGACATGTACAACTTGCGAAACTATCCTCCACGGTGGTTCTGAATTTCGATTTATGGTTTGCAGGTTAATAGTATGGGATGGTGGACACAATGGAATACAAGTTCATTTTACGGACATCAAAGATTTGGTGCAGCAGAACTCCATACACGGCAATGTAAGCTGATTTCGTGTAACGAATCGTAGAGTATTTATTGATTCTTTAATTATTTTAAAAAAACATATGCAAATCTGACCATTGCTTCCTTTGTGAATTGAGTGATGTGGCAGTCGGAAAGGGCAAATGAATTTTAAAACACAGTGAACAAAATGTAAATGGAAATGTAAATTTACAAAGTTCTTATTGCTATTATGCTGGAATTGTAATGGGTAACATATGTTGTAGGTAATCGATGCGTACGGTGCAATGTTGACTGAAATGCATAAGATGGTATCTGGAAGGGCAGAATATGTTGGGACATCGTACATTTAAACTAGTGTTTGTTCAGTATGTATCTTCAGTTTTATTTTACTGCCCGAAATCTAAAAAAAAAAATTGCATAATAAAACCTTATACGAATACGGTGGTTTTCGACAATTGTGCAGGATATGATGCGAAACAGTAGTGCTGTTTCCCGAGCGAAGTATTTGAATGTTCACATGAAGGCTGCACGAGGTTGCAGATAGACAGTTATCCCAATCTACAATGCCAACCATTGGACAGTCATGGCGTGCGATGTAGAAAGTGGGAATTGGAAACATTACAACTCGATGCGGCCAAGACGTGGAGTGCGCGATGAGCACTACAATGAGGCTCTAAAAGTTGTAAGTGCTGTTTTAAAATTTCAGTTTTGAGTGTGCATGATGGGCAGAATTTAATGTAGAAAATGTTAATGTTACTGTGGGCAAAACTGCACTGACATGTGGAAAATGGACAGAAACAATGGGTGGCTGATCACCACAACAAATTTGTGAAGCCTCGAGTTACAGCTGCAGCTGTTGGGTCAGAGCTGTTTGATGGCAGTTTTGTATCTGTTCTGGATTGTCCACAACAAGTTCCAGAGTCGTAAGTAATGTTCATTTTATTTTGAACAGACTATGTTGATGATGTATCACGTCAGTGACGTTGACACCGGTCTTTGTGAGTGCAGGTCAGATTGTGGGATTTTCGTGTGCTTCATAATCAGGCAGTACGTACGTGGTGCAGAAGTGAATACTTTGATGGACGGCCTGACCCCAACTGGGCTACGAGCTGCAATGGTGGAAATGTTCTTAAGTGACCCGGGCAGAGGACTCCGTGGGAGGACATTATAAGAGGTTGTGAAGACATTTCCCAGCGCGCAAGGTGCAACAACAGCATTAGGATGTTTTATTGTGTCTTCTCGTATCGACGTATATAATTTTTTGTTAGTTTGGAAACACATAACAGTAGGAGGGAAAAACTAGTTTCCTAAACAGTACTTTTTTGGTAATGCAGAAGTGCCCAACAGTTTAATCTTGGGTTAGAATCCAGTACTTTGTGGATATGAATGTTGATATTATTTAGTAAGCTATTCAAATAGTCTCACATATTGCATGATAACAGTTTCACAGTGCATTACACTTTTATGTCATGTGAAGTAGATTGTTTTTAAATGGCAGATGGGCCTTGGTATGTAAACATGGTGTGATCTATGCAGGAGTTGGGCATGACGACACTCTGTTTTGTAAACCTGTTTTCCACCACGGCAGTATGTGTGGCTTCATGTACATGGAAGTGAACATGCAAAGACTGAGTACGTCGACCACATGCTAAATATGACATGCGAAAAGATTAATTTCGCATTTGCATCTTAATCAGAATTGCGATGATACCATGTTGAGCATAACATAAAATTACCTTCGTGTTGAATTTAACTTAACGCAGTTGGTAATGGGTACATGTTTTGTGCAATGGCAATGGATTGTAAGCAGCCACCCAAACATTAAAAATCCATTGCCATTCCAGCTGCAGGTTGTTAGAGTCCGCTTTGGGCGAATGTTATGGTATGATGTGAACAAATTTGTAAACTAAAACGGCACCAATTCCCCTTTTCATGTCTTCACAGTGTTAATCAAAGCCAGATTTGAAAGTTAAATGGTTGTGTTTCAAAGGAGCAGTGTTAGTGTTCAATAGTGGGGACAAAAAATGAATGTCCTAATAAACAAATTAAACCAATAACATAAAGTGGATGACTGGTTTCCAAATCTGTTATCATGTCCACAGATTTCAAACAAAAACTGGCACCCATTGACTCTTCTCATGTGTAGACACCGTGATTCAAAACAGATTTGAAAAATAAAACCCATTGGCTATTTTCATGCCTTCACATTGTTAAGCAAAACAGATTTCAAACTAAAATGGTTGGGTGTTAAAGGTGGAGTGTAATTATTCAACAATGGGAACTGAAATTGTTGCTGGATTACATACCAATGTATATCCTACAAAATAGATTAAACCAATAACAGAAAGTGAATGACTGATTGGAAAAAAACAGGAAAACATTTCGGAAAACAAAATAACCCAGAATCCCAGTTTGTTAACAACCAAATTAAATCATATGGCAGCCCACCTGTAATGGCTCTTTGCATGTCTTCCTATTGTGATTACCCACTTTTCCGCAACGACCACAACGTATACGTTGCACTACCTCCCCCTTGGATGGAATTCTCTTCCGTTTTGGCCGACCGGGAGGACGCTTGGCCGTCGGCGGAGCTATCAAACATTCAGCTGGGTTAAACAGTGGCCTCCCCACTGTTGGGATGGGGTATATGGTTCCGCTATAAGTAGCTCGAAATGTATCAATGAAAAATGCAGAGTCTATGGCATCGTAGATGTTTCTCCCACTATTACGGAATGCAACAACAGCATGGGAACATGGGAACCCGTTGATCTGCCACTGAAAACAAGAACATGTCAGCTTGCCGACATCAACCAACACCGATGGGTGGGAGTGGACCTCATAGACATCATCATTAGCCTGGCTAACACACCAAGCCCTGCTGTCGTTATACGCTGCCACCAATTTTTTGTCCATTTTCGGGGATATCACACCGTCCCATTTACTGCATTTAACTCTGCGCTCCGACATCTGCTCCATTATTTGACCCCTTATCATATCGACCAATCTCGTGATAGGGAGATGACGAGCCTCACCAACCCAATTGTTGAAAGATTTTCATAAAATCTTCAATCACAGCTGGGTTGGCCTTCTTCAATACCTCCAATTTCTCATTGAAACAAGCAACAGTGGGCGCATATGCACATTCCCGTAACTTTCGCATCAACCCAATTTTGTGCGATGCATTAACATATTTCATTCGATCCCGCAAGTTCATTTGGAGATGCAACAAACAATATGCATGATGGGCTGAAGGGAAAATAATGGGCATAGAGTGTAATAATCCGACGTGGCGGTCAGATATGAAAGTTAATGTTCGCCCACCCCCAACAACTTCTTTCAAATTATGAAGGAACCATTCCCAATTAGCTGAATTCTCGGAATCAACAATAGCAAAGGCTACCGGAAACAATCCTAAGACCAAACATGCAACATAAAAAGTTAGGCATGACAAAACTTATACAACCATCCACGAATAAAAAAGTGCGACACATTTTAAAAAATTTTAAAACGAATAAGCCTGCCACTGTGTGTTACATTCCTATTCAGTTTTATTTGAGGAGACCCTATTTCAATGTTCTCAATTTTTTTTTCCGTTGTTGAATGGGAAAGAAACATTTGAAATGTATAAAAATTTGAAGTATCTATTTACTAGTATGTTCAGCAAATAAGCACTAATGGAATAAAGTGACACACCCTTACCTTGATTGGCGTCTTTAGCAGTAGCTGCGAGCAAATTCCCTTTAAATCTACCTTTCAAAAACGTTCCATCCAAAAAAAGCATAGGCCGGCAGTGTTTGAACCCATCTATACAAGCGCGAAATGATATGAAATACCTAACGAAGCTCCCGGTTTTTTGGTCAAACTCAAGATTAATGTAACTATTTGGGTTTTTTTGCATAACAGAATTGCTATACCACCTCAGCTGATCAAAGGACGTAGCGTGATCCCCGTACACCTCGCCCCTAGCTTTCTCAACACCCAACCATGCCACCCGGTAGCTAATATCCAAACCATAATCGTTCTTCAAATCAAACACGACATCAGTGGGGCGCGTCAATGGCTTATCACGCAGTCGATCTGCAACAACTGTAGACACCAAATCAGACCCCGTACGAGGGTTCCTAGAAGTACGTACAGCAGCCCCACAAGTATGCACACTATCAAACCTCTTAACACATAACACCCCACTTGACGGTAACATCCTCGCATGAACTGACCACGGACAATCTGTTGAAGCCGCAAACTTACACACTACCGTAATTCGCACGGAGTCATTTTTAACGTACTTAAATTGAAATCCACGTTCAACAGCATACTTACACAGAACTTCGCGAAATTCAGCTGCTCCACCATCAAAACATTGTCCCACATGGGTAATACCATGCGCCCATTGCGCCGACAAAAACGTCTTCGATTTGTTCGGACAGTACGTTGGTAACAAATCCATCTGCTCATTCACGAACCCATTCCCGCTAACATGCCGTGATATTCCCCCATCGTCCGCGAAATCCAACACGACACGATTACCCCCCACACCAACACTACTTTCCTGAATGACGACCTCAATGTGATTTATCCCGAACGACTTAGCAAGGCACAACATGTTTTGAATGTCGTCGTCGCTATCCACCTTAAACTTCTTATATCCTGGAAAATCAAAAAACAAACACACGGCACCTGGTACCAACCCATCGAACTTCCCACAAATTTCATCAACAATCTTCACATACGACGAATCGTGATGCAACCGAATAAGAACATTAACTAAACCATACGAACACACCAGCAAAATTCCCCCTTCCATACCTGCACACATTTTGAAGAACCCATTACGCCTGCAACATACCCATGAAACAACCATAACAGAACAGTATGTGTGCGTTTGTTGGATTAAACACAGCATTGCAGGAAAATTTAAACAACCCCAAACGACCATTCCAGCCATTGCAATAACCAGGGCACCCATCCCAAACTGTTCAGAGGAAACTTAAAAAATTCTGGAAAAAAAAAAAACGTTTACCCAGTGGGTTGAACACAGCAATGCCACCGCAGGAAGACACCAACTTGAAATGTCCAGATACAGTGCGAAGAACAGCAGTGGTCGCTGGGGAAGATGACGGCGACCAACGGAAAAATAGCTCTCACCGTATTCTGCCTCCATGAAAACAATGGTGAAGTCAATGTAAATGAAGGAAACCAATTGTAATGAAACCGAAATGGTGGACAACAACAACAAAGAATCAGAAAAAAATGTCAATCAAATACATTAACAATGAAAGAAAATGATAGGCAGTCAGCACGCAAGTAACCGTTTCTGAGAGATCGCACAAATGGTGAAAAAAAAGTTAATCAATCAAGATCATCCCTATTAAAAAACGTTGAATGCAGAAAATCACCCGTAATGCATCGTAAATGGTAGACAAAAAATGGTGCTCACCGAATTGGGTGTCCCAGAAACAGTGCCAAACGTGTTAACCAACAAACAAGTTGAACATTACAGAACTCAATAGCATTCACCAACAACTGTTCAAAGAAAGATTCTTGAAAAGGGTATTGACGTAAAAAAACAATGGATCAAATCAAACCCCCCAAAATCAGGATATTAAATAGGACTAAATGGAGCATAAGAAAACATTTAGGACTAAATGGTTCAACATTTCAACAAATAAGATTTATGGGTAAATTTTCCTTTTGTTTTTTGTTTTTTGTTTTTTTTTAAAAAAAAGGATAGCACAGAACAAAAAACAGCAACAGCCCATAAGAATGACACTCTCCTTGGTAAAAACTAAATTTTCAGACAATTTCATTTGGTTTGATGTAATACAACTTGTGAAAAGAAAAAAAAAAATTTAATTGACCCTATCAGACAAAATTCCAAGAAATACCAAGGTGAATTAGAAACTCCGGAGATTTCTATCATTTGAATTGCTGACATTTGATATCTCAAAAGAACTAGAAATGTTGAGGGAAAATTCTAGATAAAAATGTGAGAGTTTGACTCTTATAACAAAATAAATTTTTACTTTTTAATTTTGTCAATTTAAAACTTAAACTTTTAATTTGTTTCTAATTTAAACAATTTACTTACTTTCATTAAGTAAAATTGATTAAAAAAATAGTATTTTAGTTATTAAACTCAATACAAAGGGCATTTTAGATATTTTATGCATATCTATATTGAGTTTAATAAGTAAAATATTTTTTTTACGATGGTTTTACTTACAAAAATATACAAATTATTTAGATTGAAAATAAATAAAAATATTAGAATTTAAATTAATAAAATTAAAGACTTAAGATTTATTTTATTGGAAGGCTGTGTTATTTATTTATTTATTTATTTATTTTTATTGTCCCGAACGTTAATCAATAGCAAGATAGCATAGCATTAAAGTTGGGAGAAAGGCACGCAATACAGGACAAGCAAACAAAAGCTGAGCTTCACTGACTCATTTCCACTAACGAAAAAGAGAAATTTTAGGGACAAACAATAAACCACACAATAGATACAAGAGCAGGTTTGAAGCCCACCCCCTATTGTCTCTATTTTTAACTCTACATAATTTATTTATTTCTACAGTAAAACTAAATAATAAAAAAAGAAGATCAAATAAGGCATTGTGTGCTCATGGATGGACGTGGTTTGCAAATGGCCTCTAACGGCTTCAACTTGGGCATGGTGAGGCCTGAACTCTCGGCCATATCCACCTCATTTTCATCAATTCTTTTCCATTCAAATGACTGAATTAAGGCTCCTAATGCCAGCCCAACCATCTTTTTTGCCAGGTTAGCCCCAGGACATCCACGTCTTCCACAGCCAAATGGAATCAGCCTATACCCATCTTCAGCAGTATCTACTTCAAACCTCTCTGGCATAAACATTGTTGGATTTTCCCATAACTTAGGGTCCCTATGAATGGCCAATGCATTTACCATCAACATTGTGCCTCGCGGGACATCATATTTTCCCACAGTACAATCTTTAGATGCTTCATGTGGGAGTAGAAGTGGGACAGGTGAATATAATCGGAGTGCTTCATTGATTACATTTGATAAGTAATTCAACTTGGGCAAGTCTTGTTCGTTTATGAGGCGGTCTTGCTCAACATGAGCATTTATCTCTGCTTGAACTTTTGTCATTACATCTGGATGGTTAAGAAGTAATGACATTGCCCATTCCATGGTTGCTGATGAAGTCTCAGTTCCAGCAATTAGCAATGTCTGTCCACATCAGGCAAGCATGAACATAAAATACCCAAAAATAATGTAACATTCGGGGGCGGCCCAGAGCTTCCTAGAAATTTCAAAGTGAATCCTTTTCATATTTAAATGTTAGTTTTTAATTTATAATTATTTTTTTTTATCTAAAATTATTTTTTGAAATTACAAAATTAAAAGTAAGAAGATAGATCTTATATTTCCAAGCAAGTAAATTAAAACTTTATAAATTCTGTATTGACTCTTTGCAGCGGGTTCAAAGAGTCACTAAAGAATTTGGAGGGTAATTCACGGTATAATATTCCTCAACTTCGATAGCTAAGAAGAGGTATGTGAAACCAATTACTACAAACTTCAAACTTTTTATTGTGAGTTCTCTCTAGGGTTGTTGTGTCATCTCAAGCATTCATCAAGTTCATACACCTAGAGTAGATTTTTACCCTCCTCATATACTATTACCAATAACAGGTGCATAATAATGATCATCTTACCATTATAATCCCGTTTATAATATTGTTGGTGTAGAACTCTGGTTCTGTTTCCTGCAAAGATAGCAAATTGTCGATTAGTGTCTTCGTTTTTGTTGATGCACTGATTCTCCGTCGTTTATCAACTAGATCCTGCAAAAACTTGTCCATATTCTCTGCATTGGCTACAAATTTCTTCTCCATCCCAAAAAAATCCACCCATCGCAAGACCGGGAAAATGTCTGCTGGATTCGATGTGTTGGCAAGTTCAAAGTGCTCTCTCATCAAATTTTGAAAGAGCTTGGCCTCCTCAACATCCTCCACACCCTCTCCATAGAACCTCTTCCCCATGATCATCATGGTTATAACATTAAAAGAGAGCCCAAAAAACTTGTTTTTCAAGTTTACCTTACTATACCCACCATCACCACAATTTTTCATTAGTTGATTCACCCAGAACTTCACTTCCTCCCCCCGAATACCAGATGTCCTCTCCAATCGACTATTCGAGAAAATCTCCAAGGTTGTAATACGCCTGAGATTAGGTTGTGACAAATTTTAGAACATTGTGACAGAACACCAACAAAAATAATAGCAACAATATTATCAGAAAAATTATACATCTATGGATCACATTGATTATAGGTGGAGTTCACATTTTATTAATTTTAAATTTACACCATGTACCTTGTTTCAAAGTAAAATCCAAGACACTTTTTTACCGTCAATAGCAGGGGTGTTCACCGACATGATCGACCCACCAAAACTGATTGACTCAATCCAATCCACCTGCTTTTAAGCGGTTCCAATATTATGGGCAAATGGATGCGGATGGAGATTTTTTAAATCCACCTATGTTCGGACAGATGGTAGATAAGAGACCACCCCACCCGATCTGTCAATCCCCTTAAGAGAATCATATTACGTTTTGATGATTTGTATGTTAGAAAAAGACATTTTATTTAGTAGTAATATTACCTATTTATAAAATATGAAAGTTTGGGCATTATTTTATTTATAAAAAATGAAGAATAAATTTTTTCTTTTATTCAATTAAGGCCCAAAATAGTAAAAATTACTTTAAAAAAAATTACATATCAATATTCCAAAAATATATATATATATATATATATATTAGGGCAAAATAAATATTTTAAGATATATAGAGAACTTATAAGTATTTAAGTTTATCATATAGGTCTCGTTCGTAATTTATCCTAAAAAAGATAGTATAAAACAGTAAAGTTCAAACTGTCAAATTGATTCGAATTCACCCATCAACTCGTAAGTCCTGCCCAATCTGCATTCGGTAATTAAGTAGATACAATTTTTTTTTTTTTCAATCCGACCAAATTTAAATGAATGACAGATAAGAGTCCGCCGAGCACCCTTATATACCATAACATTCCAAAATAAACAATGCATAAGCGGACACTTAAATTTGAATATATTTCCCAACAAAGTCAACAACTGCAGCTGTATAACACATATATGATCCATTTTATTATCCATTTTCTACCAATTATGCAGAGATATGGCATACATATGTGTGTATATATATCTATATAGGTTTGCTAGTCGGATTGGCTTAGATCAGGTTAGGCTTAACCCGAGAACCAACCGATCTAATTGGATTCATAAATTTTATATCTAGAATAAAATTAATGTATTAATAAAATTAATTAAACAGACCAACCCAAGAGATCGAATTGATTCGGTTCTCGAGTTTTCTAACTCTCTTCTGCAGTCCTACCTGAGATTGCGCCAAAGATCACCATATGAGGCTGCAGCTATTGTGGTATAGTCGTAGGAGAGGTGTTTTCCGGCGGGACTACGTGGGCGGTTGGCAAAGACGATATCATTTTTGGTGAAACATTCTTCCACAGCGGAAGGAGAGGTGACGACGAGGACCTTTCGGGGTCCGAAGCGGAGGAAGATGATGGGGCCATAATTGTCTGAAAAAGCTTGAAGAGTTTGGTGAAGTGGGTCTTTTAGTAGATGGAGATGGCCCAGGATGGGAAGCCCAGGTGGACTTGGGGGTAGATTCTTGTACCTTTCTTGTTTTGATGTGAAGAGCTTGAAAAAGAGTAGGAGAAGAGGGAAAATGATGAGAGCTCTGGTGTACCAGTTTGTTTCCTCCATTCTTTCTCTCCTGCACGAGTATTGGGTCCAGGAGTTTAGTTTTGTATTGGGTGTTTTTGTTTTTGCTCCTTGGTTTCTTGCCAATCAAATGTGCTTTTATTGTTTCGGGTGTTTTCCTTCTCGTTTTAATTTTTGTTTTTTTGTTTATGTTTCTTTAAACTTAAAATTTTGTGAAGCCGAGCGGTTAGTTGTGTAGATGCGAGTCTGAATCTCTCTATGTGCATTTCATACTCTTATACTTTTAATTTCTTGTTTTTAATAAAATTTTATTTTGCTAATAATAAATAAAGTTGAGGTAACAAAAATTGTGCATGTAATATATATATATATATATATTAGAAATATTGTGTGTCAAATTAATAATATATATATGACAAAAAATTATATATAAAAAAATGAGTAGTTGTAACTGTTTTGTAAGTGGAAATTTATTTATTTTAATATTAAAACTAAATTAGTTAAAAGCAAAATTAATGATAACAATATTTGTGTACTTTATAAATAAATTTTAATTTATCCATACTATTATATATTGACAAGTATCTTTCATTTCTCTATTTAAAACAAAAAAGTTAATGAGATATATAAGATTCAAAACAAACACTTTTGGTTTTAAAAAGAATACTCTTATTACTTGATTAACACATATATTATGATATTAATTTTTTTATTATTTATTTTTATTTTTACCTACTTAAATGGTGGTAAGAATAATTGTGTTGTCTTATATGTTGTAGTTTGATGTTGTATAATGATATGACATTATAGAAAAGATAATATGCTAAAAACATGGTAATTTACCCTTGTTATAGCGGTCATAGTTGAGAGAACCTAGGGGTTGGCTGGCAGTCAAGATCTGGGCTTGAGGATATACTTTTAAGATTTTAGGTTTAAAATTTTTTAGATGTAGTGGAATTCAAAAGCTAATGGCAGGAACTTTATTAAGGGACAGGCATGAAATGGAGCAACAAAGAAAAGGAGGATGGATTCCGGTAGTAAACCAGTGGAAAGGTGGTAGAGGGAAAGGCATGGAAGCATCGCATGGTCTTTTTTCTGTTTTTGTGGATCATATACCATCAAAAATGGATGCTAAATCATTGTTCAAGTTCTTCTCAAAATTTGGCATAGTTAAGGATGTTTTCATTCCTTCCAAAAGAAGAGTAGTGTCACATTCTAGGTTCGGGTTTGTGAGGTTTGATTGCAATGTAGCAGTTGATATAGCCATTCAAAAAGCCAACAGTCTTCTGGTGGATGACAAAGTTCTAGAAGTCAAAACTGCAACTCTTGATAGACGAAAGAGAGATGAGCATAACAGGCAAAACCCAGAGGTCGTGAAACCACAGTTCATTCGGAGATCTTTTGAAGCTAACAGATTCAGAGGTCATGCTCCATTTGCTGGTCAAAGATCTTTTGCTGATGTTTTGCAAGGGGTGAATACGAGCACCTCCATCAAAGTTACTGAGGAGGGCAACGGTTGGCTCTATGGAAGTGCCATAATCCGCCTCAATACAGAACGCTCCTTTCACAGTGTTCGTCAAGGACTGAAGGAGAAAGGACTGGAGCATATTTTGGTCAGAAAAGGGGGTGGAAGGGACATAATATTAACTTTTAATACTCAAGAGGAGTTGAAATCAAACATTGGCAACCTCAAGGCTTGGTTTAAGGACCTGAGTCAGTTTGTGGTAGAGTTCAAAACTAGAAATCATTTTGTCCAAGAAAGATGTGTGTGGCTCAGATGCTGTGGGATACCCTTACATGTTTGGAACAGAAGCACTCTCACCAAGATTGGTAGTTTATGGGGCTCGGTTCTTAGCATTGAGGGAGATTTGTGTCAACCAAAATCCTTCTCTCATGCCAGAATCAGAGTGGCCACTTCAAATATGGAATTTATTGCTAAATCTTTAACTTTGGACTGCAAAGGTGAAGATCATAAGATTTTTGTGTGTGAAGACCTCCAACCAGATCTTAGTAGCCTGAACCATAATGGCATGTATGAGTCCAGTACTCTTGAAACCTGTTGCAGTGTTGAGGAAGTGAATTTTCTAGTGTTAGATGGTAAGGAAAGGGGAGAAGATGATGAGGTGGCAGCGGCTAATGCCATGTTTGGTGCTGAGTTTGCTTGTCCGATAGACACAGTGGTTGAGGAGACACCCTGTGATGGAGGCTTAAACAGAGGAGGAGCGTGTGCTGAGAAGCCTCTGATGCATTTGATGGAAAAGTCTGACCATTTTTCAAATAGTAATGATGAGAGGCAAAAGTGTATTGAACAAGTTTTTACTCCTGCGTATATACATTGTATGAATGAAATTAGTGCTGGTGGTGGACCCGTCATCAATTTAGAAGTGGACTTGGCCCACTTTGAAAAGCAGCCTGTCACTTCTGGATTTCCTAGTAGGCCCATTCACTTTAATGGTTCTTCTAGCAGGCCCAATGTACCTGCATCTAATACTGGGTTGCATTTTGACCCTTTGTCCAACTTAAACCCGTGTATGAGGAACAATTCTGCTCATACACAGTCAGCCCAAGATTCAATCTCAGCCTCCATTACAGACCAACAGCGAAACCAGAGGAAAAAAGGGAAGATGAAGTCACAGATGGAGGGGTTCACTAGCTTTGCTAGGATTCATGCGTTCACAAACAATGCAGCCAAGAAGCACTATGCTAAATCTGTTATTTACAGGCCTGCTGCTACAGCTCTAGCACAGTCTAATTCATTTGCAGGTAATTCTTCTCTGAGAAACCAGATTCTTTCCGAAGCTGTAGCTACTATTCAATTGGGGAAGTCTCTTGGAATAGACTATCATGGGAAAGAAGGCATTGTGCTCAACAAAATTGCTGAATTAGAATTTAAAGACAAGGAGAAAATTGCCAAAGAGGGGAAGGCCCAACAATAAAGGAAAGAAGTAGGGCCTTTTGAGTGAATCAATGGGTTTATCATGAAATTAATATCTTGGAATATTAGGGGTATGGGTAAGGTGGAGAAACAGGGCAGAATCAAGAGGCTCCTAAAGGACAGAAATGTTGATATTGTTTTTTTTCAAGAAACAAAAAGGGTAGTTATATCTGATGGTGGTGCTAGAAGGCTATAGGGAAGTAAAAATATGGAGTTTTTGTTTGTTGATCCTGAAGGAACAGCCGGAGGCCTGCTATGTATCTGGGATCCTGCTGTTTTCACACTCTCTGGCTGTTGCTGCAATAAGAGGTACATCTTACTCTCAGGTTCCTTATACAACACCTTTGATTGTGTCCTGCTCAATATTCATGCACCCAATGATGTTGGTGCCAGATCTTCTTTTTGGGCTAATATCTTAAAGCTTAAATCCATTTTCCCTCTTCCATGGTGCATGGGTGGTGACTTTAATGAAATTTGCCATATTAGTGAAAGAGTTGGTTGCTCTAGAAGAGATAGGGGAATGAAACATCTTAATGAATTCATTGGCAATAGTGAGCTTCATGATTTACCACTTCATGGAAAGAGATACACATGGTGTAATGCCCAGGATTCAGAGAAATGGAGCAGAATTGATAGAATTTTACTAAGTCCTGAATGGATGATTAATTTCCCAATGAAATTGTGGGGTTTACCCAAGCTAATCTTAGACCATTGCCCTTTATTAATGATTGAAGATGCCAGAGATTGGGGGCCAAAGCCATTCAGGTTCCTAAATGCGTGGACTCTTCATCCCAACTTTGCTCAGCTATTTGTCTCATCATGGTCAGATTCCTCTTTTGTTGGCTGGTCTGGGTACATACTCTTCCAAAAGTTAAAGCATTTGAAGCTAGTCTTAAAATCTTGGAACATTCAGGTGTTTGATAATATGGCTTCTAAAATAAAATCTTCAGAAGAAGAGCTACATGCTCTGGATATCACTGCAGAGGAAAGAGCACTGCTGGCTTCAGAAAAGGCAAGAAGAAGGGAGGTTAAAGGTGAGCTGTGGAAGCTATACAGAATGGTAGAATGGATTTGGCACCAAAAATTCAGATTAAATTGGGCTATCAATGGGGATAAAAATAGTAGATTTTTTCATGTGGTTGCAAGTTCTCGGCAAAATAGAAGTCTCATCAACTCTATTTCAGTAAATGGAGTGTCCATTGAGGATCGTACTGGAGTTAGGCACCAAATTCTTCTTCACTTTAAGGCCCAATTCTCTGAATCATGGGTTAAGAGGCCTTCTTTGACAGGGGTACTTAACATCATTGACCCTGAATATGTCTCTCGACATCTGGTAGCTAAGTTCAGTGCAGCTGAGGTACTTGCAGCAATCAAAGACTGTAACAACAACAAAGCTCCAGGCCCTGATGGGTTCAACCTACTGTGTTATCAGAAATTCTAGAAGGTTATGAAGCTGGACATAATGCAATTTTTTAAGGAGTTTCACTCTAACAACAGGCTTGCATATGGCATCAATAGCTCATTTATCACCCTAATTCCCAAGGTGGACAATCCTATTGGTCTATCTGACTATAGACCTATTAGTCTTATGGGATCTATTTACAAAATCTTGGCCAAAGTCTTAGCATTCAGATTAAAGTCAGTGCTCCCCTCAATCATTGGTGAAACACAGACAGCATTCTTAGGAGAGAGAAATATTCTGGATGGGGTGTTTATTGCCAATGAAGTAGTGGATGGTTGGAAGAAGGCCAAAAAGCAAGGGTTGATTCTCAAATTGAATTTCGAGAAAGCTTTTGATTCTGTCAAATGGGAATTCTTATTTTCTTTGATGGCCAGTTTTGGTTTAGGGGATAAATGGATCACTTGGATGAAGACATGTGTCTCTACAGCTAGAATCTCCATTCTAGTGAATTGCTTACCAACTGAGGAATTTTCACCACATAGGGGCCTTAGACAGGGAGACCCGCTCTCACCTATTCTATTCAACGTTGTGGCAGAAGGCCTTAACATTCTTCTAGTCAGAGCTCTCAATCTTGGCATTCTCAAATGGGTGGTTGTTGGGTCTAACAATGTGCTTATCTCACATTTGCAATTTGCCGATGACTCAATTTATTTTTGTGAAGCTGATAGTGATCAATTGGTATCCATTAAAAGGGTTCTCAGATGCTTTGAAGTATTATCTGGTCTCAAAATTAACTACCACAAGAGTGTTGTGTGTGGTGTTGGTGTGGATGAAGGTTGTTTAAACACCTTTGCTTCTATTCTCAATTGCAAGGTGCAGAGTCTTCCATTAAAATTTCTGGGGCTGCCTCTAGGAGCAAATCCTGCAAGGAAATCTACTTGGAAGCCTGTAATTGAAAAAATCAAGGCTAGATTGTCAGGTTGGAAGAGAAAGTTGATGTCCTTTACTGGTAGATTAACTTTAATCAAGTCCACTCTATCTAGCTTACCTGTTGACTTCCTTTCCCTATTTAAAATGCCTGAAGGAGTGGCTAAAGAAATAAAAAGGTTAGAGGCTGCTTTTTTATGGGGTAGTAGTGATCTTAAAAGGAAAGTTCATTTAGTGAAATGGGAGGAGGTTACAAAGAGAATTGATTAAGGGGGACTAGGCATTAGAAGGGTCAGAGATGCTAATGTTTGTCTCATTCTCAAATGGTGGTGGAAGTTTGGAATTCAAACCAATGCTCTCTGGAGGTCAATTGTGTGCAGCAAATATAAAATCAACAACTCATGTTGGCTCCTTCCCTTGAGTCCCTCATACAAGCATTCTAGAGTCTGGAGAGACATTCTCTCAATTGGGGCTTTCAATAGGCCTATATTTAATTTCTTTGTGGACAATTGTGGTATCAAGGTTGGGAATGGTATCAGAATCAGATTTTGGTTTGATAGATGGTGTAGCGGCCTTTGTTTGAAATCTTCTTTTCCTCTTCTTTTTAATTTGTCATCTGATAAGGAAGGTTCCCTCAATCATTATTTCGCAAGGAGGTCAAGTCCATTTGTTTGGAATCTCTCCCATAGAACAGAGCTTTATTCTTGGGAATTGGCTGAAGAGGTGAGTTTGAATGCTCTATTATCTTCTGTTCCATCTCTGTGTTTGGATTATGAAGACTGTTTAGTCTGGTGCACTGATTCTGGTCTTACCTTCTCTGTTTCTGCTCTCTATTCTCACCACTCATCTCTCTTTGGCCCTCATCTGAAGGTTAGCAAATTTGTATATGGAATTCATTATTGACCCCCAGAGTTTTTTTTTTCACCTGGGTAGCCTGAAAATCTAGAATCAAATGTTCTGACTTTCTGCTCAAGATTGGGTCTCTTGACAGCAATACTTCACCCCTCTGCCACTTTTGCAACTCTGAGGTAGAATTTGCTTCCCATGTACTGCTGCATTGCTCTTTCTCTTGGTCAATCTGGTCAGCAGTTATTGAGGAACAGGGTCTTCATTGGTGTATTCCTAAGTCTGTAGATGGTCTGCTTTATTGGTGGATGAGTTGCAAATTTTATAATTTTGACAGATTAATCTGGAAAGCAACTCCCTTAATTGTACTTTGGTCTATTTGGAAACTCAGAAATGATTGTGTATTTTCTAATGCACAGCCCTCTTCTTCAAGACTGCTAGATCTTATGAAATTCAGATCCGCCATTTGGTTCAAAGCTTCCATTAAGGAATTCCCATACTCAGTTGATGATCTAGTCTACAATTGGAGACAAATCAGGGGTGGAGTTTAGTGCCCTGGATTTTGTTTAGTAGTCTGTTGCACTGTTGCAATGTTGTTCAGTTCTGCAGTGTCTTGGTGTGTGCTGTTGGGAGCTGGAAGTGTTGTTTTGTTATCTGTGGTGTGCTGGATCACTGCTGTGCTAATATGCCTTGTCTGCTCTGTGTTAATCTGCCTTGGTTTATTCTGTTTTGCCTGCTGTTGGTGTGTTTTGTTCAGCTGGGAATGGTGTGGGTGATCTGTTCAGTTTTGGAGGTTTGTTAGTTTTGGGAAGGCTATTGATCTGTTGGGAGCTTGGAGTTACTGGGTGCTGGGAGTTGGACTGTTCTGCTTTGGTCTGATGATGTGGGTGACTCTGAGCAGTTGTTATTATCAGTTTGTCTACTATCAATTTGTTTGTCTGCTTTTATCTTTCAGTTTGATGCTTTTATTTTTTCTTCAGCTTTCTCTTGTTGGTGCCTCACCAACTGGTGCTTGGAGCTTCTTCCTAGCTCCAAGCACCTTTTTATTGATATAAATTTTCATACTTTGTATGTTTCATCAATAAAGATTTTGCTATAGCCGATCAAAAAAAAAAAAAATTTTAGATGTAAATAATTTCTTGTAAAATCAATCTATATGAAATTTTACTCCGATTTTAATTCGACCCCCTTAATGGATGGTGTAATTGATTTTCCGAATTAATTAATTTAGTGAAGAAAAAAAAAATTATACTCAAACAGGAAGGAGCCAATTTTACATTATCGGCAAATACGTATTGCGGGTGAATATTACTATCGTATAAATCATGATAAAAAAAATAGTTTAATTTACGGAACAAACAAATCACGTTGACAGAGAAAAAATGAAAATAATATACAAGTTCAATTTTTAGACTTATTTTATACATTCAATGATGTATAAGTGATGTGATTAGGGAGTTGGAGGAGTCACAGTTGTGTGGTTGCACAACAGTGACTGTTGTGCGGCTCGTGTAAATTATTTCAGACTTTATTTTATGATTCGAACTGTCCAATTTTTAAATAACATTGAATAGAACATATTTATAAAAAAAATTCAATTGATCGGATATCGATAGATCTTCATCAACTCGCATTTGTATTCAATTTAATATTTATATATTTATTTTTTTATGTATACAAATGGGAGTTGATGAAGGGTCGATTGATATTCGATCAACTTGATTTTTCACATGTATGTTTTATTCGTAATTCTTTAAAAATTGAACGGTTTGGATTATCAAAATAAAATTTAAAATAATTCTCATGAGCCACACAACAGGCGTTGCTGTGCAAGCCACACAACAGTGACCCCCTAATCTATTGAATAGTTGATAATTAGAAACGATATATTTTAGATACGCTAATTAATTGTCATATCATTGACTTAAAAAGTAAATCTAATTTTTAGATTAGAATAGCAATACTCTAAAAAAAAATCATTTTAAGAATATTTAAACTTGATATTTCCTCCTTTCAACTGGACTCTAAAAAAATGATATTTCCTCGTGATACTTCTAATTGCAAAATAATATTTCCTCCTATCAAGTAGAGTCTAAAAAAATTATCTGAAAAGCAATTAGAAAATGACGTGAGTGGAAATTCATTTGGAGGGTAACCCACAATCACACACTATAAAAAAAATTAAGATTTTAGAAATGATAATTTAGGAACAAAATTATTTTTTAGGAATAAAATATTTTTATTGTCAAAAGTATTATTATATTTTTAACAATGAAAATTGGATATTAATGATGCATTATTATCTTTTAGGACCAAATTATTTTGTCTCTAAAAATATATTTATTAATAATATTTTAAAAATTTTGTCATGAAAAACCTTATTTTTTATTTTTCGGGATGACTTTTACGATTATTTTTACAACGATAAAAATTGATCTCTAAATATTTTTTGAAACAATATTTTCACTTTAAGGAATCAAAAAATTTGATATCTAAAACTGTTATATCTTGCAGTGACACTAAGTTAAAATTTATACCATGCACTTTATTTGTAAGAATTTTTTTTTTTTTTTTTTTTTGGAACAACAAAGAGAAAACTCTATTAATGAAAATTCAATAAACAGAGGGCAACATCGAAACAAACACGGAAAAGCAAGTTCAATCATACGTTTGAACTAGGACTTGAACCTCCACTAATGTTATTTTCATTATTTTATGGGTATAAACAAATTCATGCACAGCGCCTTATTTGAGGTTAATTTAATCTTTCTACTTACTACTTTATTTGGAATCTATCTAGTAAAAAAAAAAAAAAATACAAAAAAGGGTTTAGTTTTTTTTATTTAAAATTGACTAAAAATTAACTTTTTATGAAAGACAAATTATGAAAGACAAATTGAGAGAGTAATATTGAAAGAGAATTGTAATATAAACTCTGTATATTGAATCAAGATTGAGGCTCCATAATATAGGAGCTTGTTACAAAAACATTATGATGATACAATTGAATATAATAAGAAAAAGGGGCCGAAAGATGATGGCGCACCGAAAGCGGATGACAAAGGGAATCCTATTATATCATGCTATAATTGGTGTCTATACTATAATATATTAACAACAGATATAGTATTATATTATATTCATATACAATTATATTCATATATTATATTCATATATTAACATTTTATTTATTGGTTTAATGTGTAAAACAACTTGTGGGGGAAAAAAATTAAATTGACCCCATCAGACAAATTTCTAGGAACTATAACGCATAGATTTAGAAGCTCCCACGTTCAAGCAAGGGGTTGACTTGAACCTTCCAAGATTTGAAATCATTTATTACATATGACAAGTTTTATTATTAAAATCAGCTATATATATTTCATAGCAGTAATGCGACGTATCATGAAAATTTTTTTATAAAAATAATTATGAAAATTTTGTGACTCTTACATTACACTTAGAATAAAGTATCATACACTAATCAAGATAATCTAAAATTTATAAATCTTTTATGATCATTTTCATAAACGTTTTTTCATGATCCCTAACTTTTCTCATTTAATAAATATCCTCTCATTTTATTGGTTAAACAGGCTATGTAGTTTCTATACTACCAACTTTCTTATCCCCTCTCTCAAGTTACTATATTATTTTCCTCAAGTCTTTACACTACCGAGAAAGATATTGAATATAATCTTATTTTTTATCCTATTTTTATACTTCTAGTTACAAATGAGTGAATTTCATGTTTATTTATTAATGCGTGTTAATGTAAACTGTAAATTACCACCCACCTACCACCTCCACTATAACCCACTCCACCTACCACCTCCACTTCACCTCCTACCACTTCACCTACTACCTTCTTGTCTTCTATATATTTGATCATTGTAAACATAATATATCAATCAATACAAAAAATCAATCAATAATAATACATCAGTTATTTTACATGGTATCAGAGCTATAAGATTTAGGCCTATACTCTTTTTTTTTTTCCGGCGGGGCAGCCGGCCGGCAACCTTGCCTTCGCTGCCCGCTGGAGTTTTTCCACACATACCTATACTCTTTTTTTTTTTTCCGGCGGGCAGCCGGCCGGCAACCTTGCCTTCGCTGCCCGCTGGAGTTTTTCCACACATACCAGAAACTCTGCTTTCTTTGTTTCCTCATCTTCATCGTCACTAAATTCTTTCTCTGTGGTCTTCTCTGTCCAGAGGTAGATTGGGTAGCTAATGACCATCAGAGTGCTTCTTCACAAGTTCCTTCAACTTGGACATACTCCCTGCATTAGAGTTGGCCGATGCATGTTCATCCCCATCAAAATCATCAACCATTGAATCCAACCTGTATTCATTTCTTTTTGTGGACTTCAATTTAGATCCACCATTCCAGTAAAGTTTGTAGACCAGTAACTCTATCGTCTTCCGTCACCACAACGGCGAACACCGCGTGGAGTTCCTCCGCCGTGATCCGACCGTCGTGATCACTGTCATCGAAACGCCTCTCACGGCTCCGAGTCGCAAGCCGGCGACTCGAACGCCGAGCTGATCGAGCTGAATTCCTCTAAGCTGATCTGTCCATCCCCGTCCTTATCAACATCGCTGAGCATCAACTTCAGTTACTTCTCCATCAGTAGGTCGCTTGTCCAGAGTGTTAATAGCCTTGCTGTCTTCTACAGCAGAGGGAGGAATCAAGTGAAACCCAACAACAGAGCTAGAATCATCCCTCCTCGACTCCCATTGCACCGAGCTCGCCGAGCTCGTTGAACAGGCCCTCTTCTTACCAACCCTTGAAGCCACAGTAAACACCCACAACATCACCATCTCTCGCACGCAGATATTTTTGCCCCATTCGGATCGGTGAAGTTTCCTAGATCAAAATGGAGTATGAAGACCAGGTTCAACATGTTCCAAACCCGAAATATGACTGCCTCCTCTTTGATGTCGATGATACTCTTTATCCCCTAAAATCTGGTCTGTCGGCAGAATGCACCAAGAACATCATAGAATATATGATTAACAAGCTCGGCATGGAGGATAAAGCCCCCGAAATGTGCGTTCAACTGTACAAAGATTCCATGTTTTCTCTCTCTCTCTCTCTCTCCCTTTAAACCCTCTCTTTTCCTTTCTTTTTTTTTTTAATATTTCCCTCCACTAGCCAACATGCACCTGCATCAAGACACCCCTCTTTCTTTTTTCTTTTAATATTTCCCTCCACTAGCCAACATGCACCATAAAGACACCCCTTTTCTTTCTTTTTTTTATTCTTCCAACAACACCACGTTCCCATGACAACTTTCCTTCCCCTTTTGCACCCCATTTTACCTTTCTTTATTTTATTTTATCTTCCATTTTACATTAAATGGTGAGCACGGTTACACACCCTGCGAACCACCCAAGCCACCCCATTTTACCTTTCTTTATTTTATTTTATCTTCCATTTTACATTAAAAACAAAAACAAAAAAAAAAACCAAAACAACAAACAGACAAAGAAGACGAACTGCACCCTAAATTCATTTTATTCCTGTCAGGGGATCAACCCCGATCACAATTACAAAAAAATAAAATAAAATAAAAAAAAAATAAAAAAAAAACCCACAACAACCCACACAAACACCCACCCACAGGCGGGATTTTTCTTCTCTACTCTGCAGCCGGTCTCTTCTTCTTGCCTCCGTCCTGGGTGGCCCTTGCCGGTGTTGCCTCCGTGTTTCCCACTCCACTGGGCATGATCACTACTCCCTGCTCCTCCACTGCAGCATATGGCGGCCCTCCAAATCGGAACATCACGGTGGCCTTCCGCTTCAGCTCCTTGTTTTCTGCCCTTAGCACGCTTATCTCTGCTCGCGCATCCTTATACATGCGTTGGAGCAGAGCCAGCTGGGAGTTTAATTGCTGCACCTCATTTGTCCTACCCGATCTATACTTGTATGCTGTGCGCATCACATAGTATCTTATGCT